ACACATTTGCATTTAAGCCTAAACTCAACATTTGACAATAGTCAGAATATCTGAATATCTGGATAAGGGGCTTGTGCATGGCAGAGCTAGATTCCCAAACTATCTGAAGGATTTCTGGGTCTCTGCACACCGAAGGGTAAAAATGCACAGAGTGCTGAAATTATGGCCACTGGTATGGAAGCTTGCAGCAGGCAGGCTTTGGAAACCAGAAACACTAAGGCTCTGACAGGCCCTGGCATCACATCGACTAAGGCTAAACCCTGACTTTGCTCAAGCTTGCCTGTTCATGGTTTATTGTTATTATTTTTGCTTTGTTTTGAGGCAGGGTGTCTATATAGCCCTAGATGGCCTGGAACTTGTTATGTAGACCAGGCTGGCCTAGAACGCTTAGAGATCCACCTGCCCCTGCCCTCCAGTGCTGAGGTTAAAGGCGTGCACCTCACATCTAGCTTGACCTGCCTCTCTTTAATCAGGGTTCCAATTATTTTCCCCATCTGGAGATAATACTGTCTGTCTTAGAAGGCTCCCATGCAAATGAGATGAGATACGGTATGTTGAAAGGATTTCAGATGGTGGTTGGACACACTAGTAAGTTAAGGGCACTTGACCATGAGTGTAGTGCCACCCATTTGGAATGGATATGAACCCAACGCCCAAGTGTGATGTGGTTGGCCGGCTCTGTTCTTGGCCATCCTGAAGAGGCACGGGAGTAAAGAGGGTCCACTGGTGTCTTTTGACACACAAGCCGCACGTGTGAAGGCAGAACAATCAGAAAGAGCCCCAAAGGGACAGACAACTGAGTGTGAAGGAAGGGAGGGGCTTCATGGAACTGGTCGTGGGTCACCAGGAAGATGGCTGTTCCATGCTCAGGCATATCCAGTTTTCAGATTCTCACTGACCTGCTGAAGTGTGAACAGTCCTGCCCAGAGAAGCCTACAGTGCAAGACACAAATGCATGGATGCCACGAGCCAGAAAGACAGAAAAGGCAAACAGAAAACCGGCAACTTCCGTGTGAAGCAGCGTAGAAGGCCGGAGAGTGGTGCAGGCATTAGAGGAATTTACCAAGGCATAAACAAAGGGGGAGTTAATTAAAGCACAGGGGCCACTGTCCAGAGAGTCACACTGCTGAGCGACAGCGATGGTTATATATAAGATATCATGGGTCACTAGGGGTCAAGCCCCAAGTAAGTGGCTGTGGCCTGATTGTTGAAGTGTGGGAATTTTGCTTTTGTTTTTGGTTTTTTGTCTGTATACTGAGCCCCTGGAATGTTAACTGCAATCCGTGGTCTTTTGTTTCATGTGAAATCGAGACCAACTCTTTGTCTAAGGCTTTGCCTAAGGCTTTGCTTGCCCTACACCAAGAATGCATATATGGGAATCTTTTCAGAGGCGAGTGTTGGAGGAACTGGAAAGAGCCGGTTCTGAAAAATGCATCTTTACTTACTGACCATGCATCAAGTGATGATGGGAAGTCACTGTGGCTTCATGCAGGTGTCACCCTGCTGGAACCATACTTTCTCTATTGGGCTTCCCTGACCCGTGTGTCCTGTGAGCGTGGGGGGCAGCCATCATCAAAGAGGATGACAACCTGGGGGTGAGCGACTGCCTCCTGCTTGTCCCCAGGGAGACAGTCCTCAGGACCAGCCCCAGCTTTCAGAGGTTCCTCTGTGGCTTCAGCCTCAGTTGCCTTTGGGGTGCCCGGTGGAATGGTGGACTCTTAGGCCTCTTGCCCTCCTGTTTTCTCTACTCTCCTGGGTCACTACTCTGAGTTAACCTGCTTGCAGGCCCCATCACACCCTGGCTTCTGAGGCAACCTAGGTCAGACATTTATTTTCCCAGAGGATGGCTTGTTCTCAGGGAAACCCAAAACATTGCTGGCTGGAACAAAATTTTCTTCCCATACACTGTGAGAGTGGCTGCCTACATGTATGTGTGTACAACATGTGCAGGCAGTGCCGACAGAGTTAGAAGATTTCCTGGAACTGGAGTTACAAGTGGTTGTGAGGCACCGTGTGGGTGCCGGAAACTAAACCCAGGTCTCTGCTGTTGCACCAAGTGCTTTGAACCGCTGAGCCGTCTCTCCAGCCCCCTTGCCGTGTGTGGTTTTATGTGGAGCTGGGGATCAAACCCAGTGTTTTGTGGAGGCTAGTTGAGCATTCTGACAAATGAGCTGCACCTCTAACCTACCCCCTTTTTCTTGAGACAGTCTCATGTGGTCCAGGCTGGTCTTGAGCTTGCTTTGTTTTCTTTAGAACACTGTTCTTTGCACTTGCCTGTCTGACTTTTAGTCTGGTTGCTGGCCTGATAAAAAAGTGAATAAGGCATTGGCTGTATCTATGAGCTTGCTTACCAATGTCCTGTTACTTTCTTTTCTTCAACGTTGTATCCAGAATTTGGTGTTCACAAAGTAGGTACAAGTTAGAGATTGCGATGTTCTAACTCCCCTCAATCTCAGACTCCTATGGCCATCGACGTGCCCTCAGGCCTGTGGTTCCAAACCTGTACTCCTTCTGCTGTGTGGCTAGGAAGGATGATGGAGCTCCAGGCTCGGCCACAGATGCCTGCAGCCTCCTCATGGCCGAGGTGTGGAAGATTCCTTCAGCTCCAGTGATCTGGAGCCAGGAGTCCCCTGGAGGGTGATGTGCATGGCTGTGCTGAGCAGGCTGTGGTCACCTCAGCAGAACACGGGGGCTCTCTCTCCTCAGGGAGCCATTTCTTCCTACTATGTCCAGCGCTATGGATTCTCTCCAGCATGCAAAGTGGTGGCCTTCACGGGGGACAATCCAGGTAAGTGCCTCAGGAGGAACTGCTCTCCAAGTGAGTATGGGTTGCTGGACTTCCCGCCTTCCTTTTCCATAGATATGTAATTGAGATGGGGCCTCCCTCTGAAGACCTGGATCTTATCATGTAGCCTGGGCTCTCCTTAGATGCTCGTTCGTCCTCTCTTCCTGGGTATGGGGAATATGGATGTGAGCCACCACATCTGGTTCATAGTGGACTTTTAAAGAATTCCACTCCGTCTTCCTGTTTGTCTCTCTGTGTGTACACGTATGTGTATGCAGATGTACTTGTATGTGCAGGTGCATGTGCATGTGTGTGTGCATGTGCAGACCAGAGGACAACCTCAGCTGTCTGCTATTCCTCATAATGCTGCCTAACTTTCTTTTTTAAGTAGGGTTTCTCACTAACCTGCAACTCTCAGGTAAACTAGGCTGGTTAGTGGTAGAGCCTCGAAGATCTGTTGGGTCTCTACCTCCCTAACGCTGAGTCCCTAACATTGGGGCTGTAAGTGCATGCCACCATGCTCAGCCCACAGTCCAGCTTCTTGATGAAGCCTTCTGTGGTGTTCTCTTTTCCCTCTGAAGTTTGATTCTTTGTCTCAGCCCAGTCCTGACCACCTTCAAAGCCCTTCCTTCGGGACACTGTTTTGACGTCATTAGATCTAAGGGGTTCTCCTTGCCGACGTCTCTGTAGGCTCATGGGTGGGCATTTTTTATCCTTTTGATCACCTTGCTGTCCTAGTGCCCAGGCTTCAGCTGTCCTGCCCTTACTTGGCCTCCCGTGGAGGGAGCTTTGCAATGTCGCCTGTGCTTGGGCGTGAGCCGCCTGGAAGCACAGCCTCGGAACCCAGCCTCCAGCTGAGTTCAGAGGTGTCTGATCCAGCCCCATTTCTCCATCACTCAGTTCACTCACTCAGCATTAGCGAGCACCAGCTGTGTGCCGTGTCTTCTTCAGTAGTGGGGTGTGTCAGCAACGAGGGCAGAGGGCTGCTACTGGGGAGCCTGTGTCTGGGTGGGGGACAGTCCTCATGACCTCAGCCTGCTTTGTCCTGGTTGAGGACGATTCGTTGCACCCCCGACTCACCTGTCTTTCCTGTGTGTTCTTGATGCCGTGGCCTGGTCTCCTTGCTTCTCGGGACTTCTTGGAGAACCAGGCAGTGGTGGGGAGTTGGAATCCCTGAGAGAATAGACTTCAGCCCAAATCAGGGGCCTTGGCTAGAGCAGCCCACCCCCTGACCCCTGCCACCTTTTGGGCTCCTTGAACTCAGCTCGCTGAACTGTGGGTTCAGGCAGGAGGTGGTATCTGTGCTGCTGCTGTCTGCATGGTTACTGCGCTTTGCGTTGTGGGTCATGTGACTCCTGCTAACCAGAGGTTTCCCTCCCCTTCTCAGCGTCGCTGGCAGGCATGAGGCTGGAGGAAGGTGACATTGCGGTAAGGTAATGCCTCACACCTACAGACTTTCCGTCCTGGGGGCCACAGTGCTGAGCCTCAGCTGTGTGTTTGCTACACACCAGGGGGTCTGCTGCCTCCAAAGAGGATGGTGGCCCACTGTCCTTCTTAGACGGACGCTGCCCTTTGCTGACCTGTCTGCTTGACAGTGACTAGTCTGCTGGGCATAGTGCATGAGCGCTGGACATGGGCTGTGAACTCCTGGGTATGTGGGAAGATTTAATCTGGCTTTCTACATCCAGCAGGGAAGCCATTTGGGAAACCGTTATCTTCATGATTTTGTATTGAGTTCTAGAAAGTCAATAATGGTGTCCATGAGAGCCTGGATCTGGGTAGCAGACCTTTAACTCATCTGGTATGGGGAGTCAAGAAGAAGGGTCTTTGAGGAGGTGCCAGTTGTCACCTGCAGTATGAGGAAGGAAGTGACTGGGTGAGGGGGAGCAGGATGTGGAGTAGTCGCTGGCAGAAAGGGAGCATTTGTAGCCAAGCCCTAGGCACCTCACCCTCTACTCTGCTCTCCTCAGGTCAGCCTGGGCACCAGCGACACCCTATTTCTCTGGCTTCAGGAGCCCACACCTGCCCTGGAAGGCCACATCTTCTGCAACCCAGTAGACACGAAGCACTACATGGCCCTTCTGTGGTAATCCTGGAATCTCTGGGTCGGGGGAGGGAGGTGCAGACCGATTCGGCATAACCAACACCCCAAGGCGTTCCTACTAAAGTGCCTCATGGGTAGCCAAGACCACAGGGACACACACAAGTTCCTGCTTCACAGCAGAACTATCTTGGGAAGAGGCCAAGACCTATAGTCCTCCAAGCCTGGATTCAAACTCTACCTCCAACGCCAGTGTCCTTCATGGTTCTCTGACATATCTAACTTGACCTTCAGCACATGGTCTGGGGGACAGCTTGCTTCCTGAAGGTTCTCACAGGAGGTGTGTGTTCCAAGTCCTGAGCACAGGCCTTTGGTACCTGCTGGAAGCTCCCTGGTTTAGAAGGCTTCTGAGCTGTAAGCACCAGGAACCGCTGGAGAATGTTCAGGTCTAGTTGTGCTGGTTGCTGCCCCCATTGGAGAGCTGATGCAAGGTACAGGACGCCCTGTCTGGACCCCACTGTGGCAGCTTCCAGCATAAACAGAGCCCAGAATAAGTGTGAGTCCAGTGCCTTCCAGGATGCCCGTGGAACCCCAGGAGAACCTCAGATACTTGTGATCAGGCTGCCTGCTGTGCCCAGCCCAGGGGTTGTGGTCTAGCCTGACCTGGAGACCCCTCTGTCCAGAACTCTTCTAAAACTGCTGGGTCCAGTCTGCATGTCAAGTTTAGTGGTAGGATCCTTGCCTAGTGGAGCACCTGGGTTCCAAACACCACCACAAAACCTGGAAGCCTAGGACTCACACTGTGTGTTTCTGCAGCTTCAAAAATGGCTCCCTTATGAGAGAGAAGATCCGAGATGAGTCTGCTTCCTGTTCCTGGAACAAGTTCTCTAAGGCCCTGCAGTCCACGGAGATGGGGAACAAGGGGAACCTGGGTAGGTTGGCCCTGTGACAGGGGCAGGAGGGCTTGGGATACCATGAGTTGGGGGCGTGGAGGAGTTTGGGGGGTCCTTTTTGTCTACACTTGTAGCCTCACGAGCTGGTGTGGGCCCCCAGGTTCTGAGGGTGGGATCATGAGGCTCCCCTTGGGTGTGGAAAGTCAGACCCCTTCTACCCCTTCAAAGTGACGAAATGGCAGCCCCAGGATCTCCTGAGCCTGCTGCTTCTCTGTCCACAACTTCCTGCCCCAGACAGGGCTGCGTTAGGAAGAATATAGCACCCAGGCCACGTCCTGAGGAAGGAAGGGCCATGTCTTCTCTGCACACCTCGGTTGGTGCTCAGGGTTAGGGAGCTGCTGGGGGGAAGTGAGAAGAGTTACCTCAGAACAGACCAGGCCATCCCAGCCCCCCTCTTCTATGGGAGAGAAGGACTGAGGATACTGTAGAGCTCCTTGAGGGGATGGGAGGAGGCCTGAGGTGCAGATGAGGTAACTTTGCTTCACCCTTTTTGAAGACTTTTGAGAAACTTCTTTGTTCTGGGTCGCTGGCAGATAATCTCTTCCTGGTTTTGCTTCAGGTTTTTATTTCGATGTAATGGAGATCACCCCTGAAATTATCGGGCGTCATAGGTTTAATGCGGAAAACATTGAGGTAACTTACGTCTTTTTTTTCCTTTTCATGGTATATGTGTGTGGTGTGTGTGTGTGCATGTTTACATGTGTGTTGCCGGTGTGCATGCATGTGGCAGCCCAGGATCGACACTGGGAATCTTCCTGAGTTGTTCTTCCACCTGATTCATTGAGACAGGTTCTCTCGATGAAACCCAGAGCTTGTTCAGGGGATTCTGTCTCCACCTCTGAAGCTGGACCCACAGGCAAGCCACCATGCCCACCTGGCATTTCTGTGGGCTCTCAGACTCCAAACTCAGGTTCTCTTGCTCACAAGGCAATCACTGTAACTGCAGAGCTATCCCCCAGCCCCAGACACATATGCTGTGGGTTTACATCGACTCAGGTGTGCAGTGCTCTGTTTAACAACCGGCCATCGGATCATGCTGCTTGCAGGGGTTCCGTCACCTGCCCATCTACAGATGTGCTCGGGTGCATTCTAGAGGCTGCGGCCTTAATCGGCTGACAGTCCCTGTCTCTTCTCCAAGGAGGAATACAGGGGACCTGAGTACTCTGTGGGCTACTGTCTGCCCCTAGACTGGTGTCACTGGACATTTCCTTGGTGGCTGTTCCCTCCACCTCCCAGCAGCCCTTGGGTCCTGAAGGCAGGAGTTTCTTCCTACTGGGAAGAGCCTGTGGGGGAGACAGTGGTACTCACTGAGCACCACTGGGTTCCCAGCATCATGGTGTGATTGTAGTATGTCCTCTTTCTCTAAGCAACTCTGTGAAGTAGGCACGACTAACCCTTTTTACAGATGGGGAAGCTGAGGCCTTAGTAGCCGGCCCAGAGTCACAAGGTACAGGTGGTGGAGGAAGCCCAGGCCCAGGCCTTCCTGAAGCCGCTTCTCAGAGGCCACTTTTCTCTCATTTCCATGGGGCCCCTTCCGGGAGAGCCCTGTTGGGATGGGTTTCCTGGTAGTTCCCATGAGTTGACACCATGTTTTGAGGGAGTTGAAGCTGGAGGATGCTTGTGAACCCAGTGGATGTTGGGGAGCTTAGGTGAGATACTCTAGTCACTGTAACAGTTAGGTGGAAATTAAGTATTACACATTTGGTAGAATGCTTTGGATACAATGTAGAAAGTTTTCTGGGCATGGGGGTGGCACACGCCTTTAATCCCAGCCCCCCGGAGGCAGAGGCAGGCAGAACTCTGTAAGTTCGAAGTCAGCCTGGTCTACAGAGTGAGTTCCAGGACAGCCAGGGCTATGTAGAGATCCTGTCATAAACAAACAAACAAACAATGTAGAAAATCATCCTGGTCCTCAGGTTGAAGTTCAATTTCTGTTTATAGAGAAAAGATACACATGCCTGCTCTCGTGTACGTTAGTCCTAAGCCTGCTCTTGTGTACATCAGTTCTAAGCTCATCAAGGAGAAAGTAGGGTTCTTCATTCATTCATTCACTCAGTAGATGTGGGTTTTTCCCCAGATTTGCTCATTTCATATGTATAAGTATTTGCATGTACATCATGTGTGTGTTTGGAGACCTCAGAGGCCAAACGAGGACACTGGATCCCCTGAAACTGGAATTACAGACGGTTGTGAGCTGCCACGCGGGGGTACTGGGAACTGAACCCAGGTCCTCTGCAAGAGCATTGAGAGAAAGTGTCAAGTTTACTTCTTGATCTGAGGGGCTGGAGAAGCAGGCCTCTGCCTGGTGGTGGCCCTATCGAGCTATCTTGATGCTTCAGAGTCATGGTGGATACTCAGGATAAGTTCATGGCTATCACTTATCCAACAACGTCAACTCCATATCCTAAGCCCTGTCAATCTAATTTGGCCATGGTGACCTTGAAAACTGGGTTCTGTCATTGCAGCCCTAAGTTAGGAAAGAGGACAAAACAGGAAGAGCCACGTGATATTCGGGGTCAGAGGGGAAATGTTAGAGTCAGAACTTGAACCCTTGGCTGCCTGAGACTGAGCAATGTGATGTCACTGAGTCCTCAGAGTGGCACACAGGTGAGGTGTGAGCTGTACGTGTGAGAGTTGTGTCCGTGTGAAGATGGGACAGGTGAAATTGATGGTTAAAGTAAGATCACTTACACACACACACACTCAGAGTCCCTCGTGCTGTACCCACTTTCTGTAAACAGGTCTCAGCATTCCCTGGGGATGTGGAGATTCGAGCTCTGATCGAAGGACAGTTCATGGCCAAGAGGGTTCATGCAGAAGGCCTGGGCTACCGAGTCAGTAAGTGAGCGGCCATCTGGATGTGTTCTGGGGCTGGGGAGGGGCAGAGGCCCAGAGATAGTACCTAGTAAGGGTCTTTGGTTACAGCATGCGGTGGGGAGAAGGTGGGTGGACTCGGTCCTGGGTGGGGTGAGGAAGTGATTCAGGCTCCTGCGAGCAGGTGTAGATGCAGAGGCGGGGTGGCCTGCTTCTCTGCTCTGTCACTGCTTACCAGATTTCTTGGTCGTAAGTTGTAGGCATCAGGAGAGGTCTGTGGGTGCCCCAGGTCCTGCCTGCAGAGAAGCATCCTGAGCTCTGAACCTTGGGGATATGGATGGACAGTGTGGGTGGAAGGCCTGTGTTCTGGGGACATGACTGGGCCTCTCAGCTGAACCAGAGAAAGTGGCCATGGAGTGCCACCACCAGCACTCAGGACTGAGGAGAGGGCAGACCCAGGGCTCTTGGAAGGGATCCTAAGAACTTGACTGTAGAGCAGGCAGGTCCCAGAGCTCAGGGGCTCCAGAAGGGTCTTCAGAAGGCTGTGCTAGCCCACAGCGTCCAAGTGAAGAACTGGGTGTGGTAGTGTAAGTCATTTGTCCCAGCACCAGGGAGGCAGAGGCAGGTGCATCTCTGTGAGTCCCAGCTCAGCAAGGGCTACGTAGTGGGATCCTGTCTCAACAAAGAAGCCACAAAATCCCTATGAAGCCTCTTTGCCTCAGAGTGCCCATGGAAGCCTTTATGGACAGTTCAGGTTCTGTGCTGAATGATTTATTGTCTTTGAACCAACCAAGTAAAAGGATACTATAAAAATAAGCTCGGGAAAACCTGATAGACAGCATCTACTTAAGCTGAATATACACCATGCCAGCAATCTTATTCTTATGTAAACACGCACGGGAACATACATATGTTCATTAAAGGTATCCGTGGGAAAAAAAAGTGTCCATGAGAACATTCAGTGTGGCCCTCGCTTACTAGCCCTGAGATGAAAGCAATCTAGTATCTATTGAGAATAGACAGACTGACTGGGAGTGGTGGTGTTTGTCATTTTATCCCAGCCCTTGGGAGGCAGAGGCAGAGGTAGGCAGGTCTCTGTGTGTTCCAGACCAGCAGGTGACATAGACAGACCTTGTCTCAATAAAACAGAAATTAAAAGAAAACAAAAAAATGTAGATGGGATAAATGCATGTGTATTCACAGGATAGACTACCACACAGAAATGAAGAGGACCCCCCTCTTAATTACACGCCACAGAATTTGTAGGTGACACAAACTAATGGTGAGCAAAGGAACAGTGTTCAGACTCAATGCAGACACTACTCGCTGCTGCTTAAAGCAGGATAATTCGGGCTGGGCGTGGCTCGGTTGGTAGAGTGCCCACCTAAGCCAAGGCCCTGGCTCCGTCCTCGGCACCATATAAAATGAATATGCTGGCTCATGCCTGTAATCCCACCACTAGGGAAGCCTTGAACCTGCTCTGTAGTTGAGCATGACCTTGAACTCCTGATCTTCCTTACTCTGCTTCCCAGGTCCTGGGATTACAGTATGTACCAACAATGCCTGAGTTTTAATACAAATATTAAAATAAGTAAAATAATTCCTATGAGCCGGGCTGTGGTGGCACACGCCTTTAATCCCAGCACTCAGGAGGCAGAGCCAGGCTGATCTCTGTGAGTTCGAGGCCAGCCTGGGCTACCAAGTGAGTTCCAAGAAAGAGCAAAGCTACACAGAGAAACCCTGTCTCAAAAAAACAATAAATAAATAAATAAATAAATAAAACAAAATAATTCCTATGGATTCTCTCATCTAACCATCTTGGAACTGTATTTTTTTTACATCCTGAAGGTTTTCAAAGCCCCCAGACATCTTTTGAGACCTGAGATTGTGTGAGCAGGGCAGAGAAACCGGCTCTAATTGCCTAGCAGGGGTCTTTGGCCCATCAGTAGGGGACATCTAGGCATGGAGGGGCCATCCAGCAGCCCAGAGTGCAGGAGGAGGCAGGGCAGAGAGGCTGGAAGGAGTGTGTATGGTTACTCAAGAGCAATTCCTGTAGAACATAAAGACATTTACTCTCTTAGCAAGTTGAAAAGCAGAATCAAGCCTGCCTTGAAAGCTCTGCTGGGTTCCTTTTAAACAAGACCTCCTGGTTTGGGGGGTGGGGGTTCCTTTTTATTTTTGAAGTATATTTATTATTTGTGTATGAGGGGGTGGGCGCATACAACTCAGCATGAAAGTGGAGGTCAGAGGACAACTTTGGGGTCAGTTCACTCTTTCTACCACATGAGCTCTCGGGACTGAACTCAGGACCTCAGGCTTGTCACCAAGCGCCTTAATCTGCTGAGCCATCTCTCAGCAGGTTCCTTTTTTATTTATTATTTATTATTTTTCATTTTAAAAATCTCACTTTGTGTATATGGATGTTTTGACTGCATAGATAGAGGTCTGTGTACCACTTGTGCGCCTGATGCCTGCAGAGGCCAGAAGAAGGCATTGACGCACCTGGAACTAGAGTTACAGATAGTTGTGAGCTGCCATGTGGGTGCTGGGAATCAAACCAGGGTCTTCTGGAAGAGCAGCCAGTGCTCTTATCCACTGAGCCATCTCTCCGGCCCCCAAATAAATCCTTTTTAAAGAGAACAAGAAAAAAAAAAAAAAAAAGCCACCAAAGTTTTTTGTAAGGTTTGGATATGAAGCCCTTATCTATTGAAGAAAATTCCGTTCTAGTATTGATATGTTGGGGGATTTTTTCCCCTTTTTCTACTTTTTAGGGGGTGGTGGAGCAGAGTGGGGTGCTCGTGATTGAACTCAAGGCCTTGTGTTTGCTAGGCAAGCACTCTGCCAACTAAGCTACATCTCCAACCCCAAATTCATTCTTTAATTTTTTAGTTGATAAAGACGATAAAGGCAGATGGACTGTAGATTTCATATGAGGAGCCCTGCATGGACAGGCCAAGCTTTGGGTCTCTCCACAGCCCTGGGAGATCAGCAGGAGCCATAGACCCAACACAAGCCCTCCATGGCTGAAGGACAGTCCTTTCTGCCTTGGGAGAATTGCTACAACCACTTTAGTTCTGTTTCATCTTTTGTTTTACAGTGCCTAAAACAAAGATCCTGGCCACAGGAGGAGCATCTCACAATAAAGACATCTTACAGGTACGTGTGGTGGTGGCCTCGCACCTCAACGTTGTCCTTGTTGCATCTAGGAGCTAGATGTCTCCTTAGTCACTCTTTGCCTTATTTTGGGGAACAAAGTCTTTCACTGAACCTGGAGCTCACAGATTTGACCAGAATGGCGGGCTAGCAAGCCCCAGGTCTTTGCTTCCCCGGGGCTGGGATTCCAGGCATGTGCTACACAGACAGCTTTTTTCCCATGGTTCCTAGGGGTGTGAAGTCAGGTCCTTGTGCACCTATAGCAAACACTTTACTGAAGGAGCCGCCTTCTCAGCTATCTACCCAGTTGTCTTGTGACACTGGAGGTTCTGGGCTTGATTCCCAGCACTGAAAGAAAATAAATGAACACTTAGGGTGTGTATTGCTGTGATAAACACCATGAGCAAAAGCAACTTAGGGAGGAAAGGGTTTATTTCGCCTGACAGCTTATAAGTCCGTCACTGAGGGATGTCAGGGCAGGAACTAACACAGGCACCTGCAGACCAGAACTGAAGCAGAAGCCACGGACGGGTGCTGCTTACTGGCTTGCTCCTCATGGCTTGCTCAGCCTGTTTTCTTACAGAACCTAGGACCACCTGCCCAGGGATGGCACTGCCCACAGTGGAATGAGTCCTCCACTGCCACATTAATCACTAATTAGGAAAATGACCCACAGACTTGTCTACAATCTTGTCTAATCTTAGGGAGGTATTTTCTCAACCATGTTTCCCTCTTTTCAGATTACTCTAGCTTGTGCCGAGTTGACAAAAAACCCACAAAACAATGATATAAGTAGTTTAAAAGTATAGACAGGGCTGGGGGATGAGTCAGCTGGTAAAGTGCTTGCCATGCAGACATGAGGAACTGAGTTCAGATTCCTGCCCCCATCAAAAGTCAGTCTTGGTCATGTGTTCCCGGCACTGGGGAAATGGAGACAAGAGAGTCTGGGAGTGCTGGCCAGCCTCGCTAGCCAATCTGTGAGCTGGTGGCCAAATTAAAGACATTTCAACAGTGAGGTGAAGTGATTGAAGAAGACACTTGGCATTAACCTCTGGCCTCCACTTGTACCTGAACACAGGAGGATGCCTCCTTCCCCACACACATGTGCTTGTGCACGTGCACATGTGCACCCCCCCCCCCCATGCACAGGGGGTTAGACGTGGTGGTGCACACTGTTAATCCTGGTGCTCAGGAGATAGCAGTAGGTGGATCTGTGAGTTCCAGGCCAGCCTGGTCTAAATAGTGATTTCTTCACCAGCCAGGGTTGCATAGTAAGACGGTGTCTTTAAAAACAGTACAGGGCGCGGCGGTGCATGCTGGCCATCTCCTCACTCAGGAGGCTGGAGCAGGAAGAGCTGAGTTTGAGGCCAGCTTGGGTTACATAGTAAATTTCAGGCTGGCTGGAGCTCTGTGGTAGGCTCTTGTCTTTGGAAAGGTACGGGGACAGCCTGGAGACTGGCCCTTCCCTAGGGTCTTCCCCAGGTCACCCTGTCTCATCACCAGGCAGCTATCGTTGAATAGAAGGCATCGGAAGACATGAGCAAGGAGAAAAGAGCATTTCTGACCAATGTCTCTGAGTGGCCGACCACTCAGCCAGCATGACCTCTGTGTTCCTCCCAGGTGCTTGCGGATGTGTTTGGGGCCCCCGTGTATGTCATGGACACCACCAGTTCAGCCTGCGTGGGCTCCGCATACCGGGCCTTTCATGGTAGGTCATGAATGGGGCTCGGCCGTCTCCGGAAGTGTGTAGGCACCACTGGGATGAGAAGAGTGGGAACGGGAGAGGATGGTGTCTTAGTTAGGGTCTCTATCGCTGTGAAGAGACACCATGACCACGGCAACTCTTACAAAGGAAAACATTTAATTGAGGTGGTGGCTTAGAGTTTCAGAGGGTTAGTCATCATTATCACCATGGCTGGGAGGATGGTGGCTTTGCTGAGAATCCTACATCTTGATCTGCAGGCAACAGGAAGTGAACTGGGACACTGAGACAGTGGTCTTGAGCTTATATGAGACCTCAAAGTGTCCACAGAGACACTTCCCCCAACAAGACCACATCTCCTCCAGGGAGGCCACACCTCCTAATAGTGCCACTCCCTTTGGGGGCCATTTTCTTTCAAACCACCCCAGATGGCATTCCCAGTTTGAAGGACACTGGCGTCTCAGGAGTGTTAGCCTCCTTTCTGTCCCTCCCAGCAGGCGAGAGTGAACCCTCTGTCTTTTGTTCTCTAGTTAGAGTGGGGAAAGAGGAATAGTATTCAAACTGAATGAGGCCTGATCAGAATCAAGCTCTGCAGAGAGAGGCCAGAAAGCCCCCAGGGCATCACAGACCGTGGGTACAGGTCCGGCTAGTGTGGAGGAAGGCAGCGTGGCTGCAGATGAAGTCCAGAACCGTGGACAGCTCCCTGGAGGCCCTGGCTCTGCCGGCTGTCTCCCTGAGACTTCGGACATGACTGGAAGACAGTTGAGGGAGTTAGGGTTGAGGTTAGCCTCCTCAGGTAGGTTGCTTTTCCCTGCCCTCTGTCTGCTGGGGAACTCCTGGCTGTCGAGGTCATTGGGTGCCACCCTTTCCCTAGGGGTCCGTTCTTCCCGTTCACTTTTCTCTTCTCAACCCACCCACTTAAACTTGATGTTTCTTTCAA